CCCTAAAAGTGGACTCAATTTGCACTATTTCTGACAGTCTGCAAAGGCATTTAATCATTATTTTCTCAATACCTGAACAGAGTTGTCAAAGGGAAGCTGAAAGCTCCATATCCTGAGAGATGAGAATCATAATCATGTGCCATGATATACTCCTACAATATAGATGATCATGGCAGGGGACATCCAGTGCTGATATTGCTGCTGGCATTTCTACAGGCACCATGTGCCAAGAGTGTTTGACACTACAGAATTACAGCACTATGATTCCAGTTTAACTGCCATATACATCCTGTGACAATCTTGGATTGGTAGTTTAGTGAGGCATTCGAGCTCTTTGGCTTAGAATTCCAGACACCGCTATACTACAAATCCCAGGATTTCTTAGGATGGAACTATGGCAGTTCAAGTGGAATCACAGTGCCATAATTATGTAGCATGCAAGAGTCCCTGATCTACCAGCTCTGCTGCTATCTACAAAAGAAAGGAAAACTGTAAATCTCTTGACTCAGGTTAAAGAAAAGGAAAAGCCAGCAACTAGGAGAGTACTTACTCGTGATAGCTCAGCAAGGGCAGAATTCATCTCCTGGTCACTGGCAGAGATGGTTTGACGAATATCTGCATAGTACCTGCAGAATGGAAATGCTTGTTTACTTTCCCACCCAACTTTTTGCCTTCTTCCCTTTCTCCACACATCCAGCTTGCCCTCTGATCTTACCGTTCTACCATCTGCTTATAGCGTGGAATGTCACGGGCATAGAGCAGCTTATTAATTGGGGAATCCTGGAAGGGAAACAAAGGGCGCAAAACATTACTGACTAAGTCCAGAAATATTAGATAGCTGAAAGTGGGTTTGGGAGGACATGAAGGAGAATAACCTTTGTAGAAGGTTTACACATGTCCCATCCCTTAAAACTGGGCAGACAAGATGTTGTTGTTGTTGTGTGCCTTCAAGTCACTTCTAACTTATGGTGACCCTAAGGCAAACCTATACAGCATTTTCTGGGGCTGTGTGTGTGATTCACCCAATGTCACCCAGTGGGTTTCCATGGCTGAGTGGGTTTGGGAGGACATAAAGGAGAATAACCACTGTAGAAGGCTTACACATGTCCCATCCCTTAAAAATGGGCAGACAAGTTGTTGCTGTTGTATGCCTTCAAGTCATTTCCAACTTATGGTGACCCT